CATTCTAGGATGGGTATGCCTGTTGGGCACTACACAACTTCTCAAACTTTGAAATCAGATTGGACACCACCCCTCATTTCCTGTTCCACAGTGATTTTTGTGTGGTTCTAGCTTTTTATCACAACTGTTGAAAACCCAGCTTTGCAAAGATATGTAGTAGAAAGAAATGTCAAATCTTGAATTATCTCTACTCACAGGCAAGATGTCAGACAGATGACCTGTTTCCTCAAATATTTAAAATATCCTGCTGTAAATATCCTGTAAGGGCACTGTGGTACCCCAACATCTATATCTTGATTTAGCAACAGATCTCTGCTTTAAAATGTCTAAACCCACTGCAGGGCTTCTCAGACTGAGAGCACTTATATATGGGTCCAATAATGTATATATCTTCACACTAATGAAAGCCAGAGGACTCAGGATCAGTTTCTTCTGCACTTTGTGGCAGACTAGTCACATATACTTCCTGGAACAGCACTCTGCCCTCGATATGGGTGACCCTAAAGGGCTTCAACTAGACAAATACAATAGAGGATCATATTTTCTGAACTGCAAATCTGGATACAAAGGTGGGTGAACTTATAAAGACGAAGACTGTTACAGGGCCCTGCCCTAGGAATTCTGGACACCTGGTCACCACCCATGAAAAACCCCAGTGCAGGATTAACCTCCAAGTCCACGGCCAGCTAGGTCTCCTAGAGGCTGCAGAAATTCCTAACTTCCCCTATGCCTGCCTGCCTGCAGCCTGCCTTAGGAGGAATTAAGGTGGAACTAGAAGCATGCCTAAAAGACTACCTGGCATCAACCTCAAAAATAAAACCACCAGTTATTTTACCAGCAAAACGAGTTTACTTGGCAATAGCAGAGGAACTGCAAGTTGGGACAAACTATGGCAAACCACAGGCAAGTCTAAAGAAACAAAGGGAAGTTCAATTTTTATTAGGTTTTAGGGAAAATTTGGGAGGTTTGTTTTGAACAAAAGTTCACTGTAGAAGAATTTGAGGTTTGTCATTGGCTGCAAGCAGTGGTTAGCACATTGCTGGGGCAGAGAGGGATCTTCCTATGTCTTAAAAGCAGGATGTGAAAAGTGTCCTCTCTTGTCAAGATAATTCTTATCTTCCTTCCTCCTGCTGGTTATACGGGCTGCAAGGAGTGGTACTTGCACGGAAGCTTTCCTTTCAGGGCTTCATTTTAAACGAGGTGTCCTTTACTCATTTTCACACTGGTAGAGACTTCTACAAAACTCCACTGTCCCTCCCAGGCCACCTTGTACACACACAGATGGGTTATCTCACTTGAGGAGTCTGGCAAATAGCTTTAGTTAAAAAACATCTGGCGGAGGGGCGCCTGGGTGGCTCGGTTGGTTAAGCATCTGCCTTCCACTCAGGTCATGATCCCAGCGTCCTGGGATTGGCCTGCATTGGGCTCCCCGCTCAGTGGAAAGTCTGCTTCTCCCTCTCTCTCCCTGTGCCCCTCCACCCTGCTCATGCTCTCTTGCTCTGTCTCTCTCTCAAATAAATAAATAAAATCTTAAAAACAACAACAACAAAAAAATCTGGGGGAGGGGGAAGACTCTTGAAACACTCTAGTACATTTCTAAAATAGGTTATTTATTTTAAGGAGGCTCCACACCCAGCATGGAGCCCAGCGTGGGGCTTGACTTCACAACCCAGAGATCAAGACCTGAGCTGAGATCAAGAGTCTGAGGCTCAACGACTGAGCCACCCAGGTGCCCCTAAAATAGGTTTATTTTACTGACTCTTGAAAAGTGGAACTGAGTGGTTAAGCATACAACTCTTGCTTTCAGCTCAGGTCATGATCCCAGGTTCAAGAGATGGAGCCCTGCATGGGCGGGGGGGGGGGGGGGGGGGGGAGGGGGGGGGGGGGGGGGGGGGCGGTGGGAACGGGAGTGGGGCGGCGGTGGTGGTGGTCCATGCTCAGCAGAGAGTCTGCATGAGATTCTCTCTCTCCCTCTTCCTCTTCCAAAAAAAAAAAAAACAGAAGTGGAACTGAGGTTGGGAGTAACGGAAGAGTTCATCAGTAGGCAAATGGATAAGGACGATAAGGTGTGTGCGCGCACAGGCGCGCACACAGGAATATCATGCAGCCGTAAGAAAGGAGATCGTGACATTTATGACAACACAAAGAGTATTACGCTAAATGAAATAAGACTAAGACAAATACCATATGATTTCATTCATATGTGGAGTCTAAAAAAAATAAAACAATTAGGCAAATAAAAAAGCAGAATCGGACCTATAAACACAGAGAACAAACTCATTGTTGCCAGAGGGGGTAGGGAGTAGGTGAGCAAAATGGGTGAAGGGGCGGGAGATACAGGTTTCCAGCTATGAAATGAATAAGTCACAGGAATAAAAGGCACAGCATAAGGAATACAGTCAATGATATTATAATAGTGTTTTATGGTGACAGATGGTAGCTACACTCGTGGTGAACATAGCACGTTTAAACGTGTTGAATCACTATGTTGTACACCTGAAACGAATGCAACGTTGTGTGCCAATACAACACTCAAATACAAAAATTAATAATAAAAAATTTGGTTGTCCTGCGCAAAGAGGTTGAAATTATGCATCTTAGCTTTTTGTTGTCTGTGATAATTCCACAAACTGCTGCAATCCCACCTTGTTCCAAGACTTAATACAAAAATATTTAAATCACTGTCTCTCTCTCTCTCTCTCTCTCTCACACACACACACACACACACACACACACACAGAGTGGAACTAAAGGAGTTTTCTCCAGTGATGCAAATGTTCCATATTTTCATAGGGGTGTGAATAACAGAGGTGGACAATCAGGAAAAACTCATTCAACTGTGGAGAAATGCATAGAAAAATGACAGAGTAAAAATTATCGGTAGAAACTAAGTGGTCAATACAGGAGTGTTCATTGTACAATTCTTTCAATTCGGGGGCATGTTTTAAAATGTCCATGATATGTACACCTGAAACTAATATAACAGTGTATGTTAACTATACTGGAATTAAAATTAAAAACTTAATAAAAAATAAAAATGAAAAATAAAAACTCCTTGCTCAATCAAGGTAAAAAAAAATGCACATCCAATGATCCATTCATTATTCTCCTGGGCATATACTCAACAGAAATGCATAAACATAAGTCAAGAGACATGTATTTTAAATCTTACAGTGGCATCATTCATACTGAGCAGAGTTCTATTGGCAAAATGAGTAATATTTATTCACAGATACAAGAATTGGGGGAAAAAGCCCATTCATGTCCTTAAGAAATAAATGTCAAAGATAATTTTGCTTTTTATGTTTAATAATTATACATCAAATTATGTAATGACTTATGTTTTGATCATTTCCCAATTCAGGAGGAAAGAAAATTTTTAAATAAAAAAGTAAAATGTCCATGATAAAATGTTAGAAATTTTTAAATTAAAAATTAAAGATTTATTTTATTTATTTTTTTGACAGAGAGCGCTCGAGAGCACAAGCAAGGGGAATGGCAGGCAAAGGCGAGGGAGAGGCAGACTCCCCACAGAGCAGGGGGAGCCCACGTGGGACTTGATCTCAGGACCACGGGATCATGATCTGAGCCGAAGGCAGTCGCTTAACCAACTGAGCCACCCAGGCGCCACAAGATTTATTTTAAAAATTTAACTTGGAGCTCCTGGGTGGCTCAATCAATTAAGCCTCTGACTCTAGATTTCAGCTCAAGTCTGGGGTTGGTGAGTTCAAGCCCTGCATGGTGCTGGGGGTGGAGACTACTTTTAAAAAAGTCTTTTTCTTTTTTTTTTTTTTAAAGATTTTATTTATTTATTTGAGAGAGAAAGTGCAGAGGGAGAGAGAGAAGCAGACTATCCCCTGAGCAAAGAGCCCTACTGAGGTCTTGATCCCAGGACCCTGAGATCATGATCTGAGCCGAAGGCAGACGCTTAACGACTAAGCCACCCTAGTACCCCCCCAAAAGTCTTTTTTAAATTAAAATTTTATTTATTTGAGAGAGAGAGAGAGAGAGAATGCTCACACGCTCCAGTGGGAGAGGCAGAGGGAGAGGGCGCGAGAGTCCTAAGCAGACTCTCTGCTCAGGGGGAGCTGATGAGGGGCTCAAGCTCACCACCCTGAGATCAGGACCTCAGCGAAAACCAAGAGTCCAACGTGCTTAACCGATTGTGCCACCCAGAGCTAGAGCCCGACCCCCCCAAAAAAAAGCCTTAAAAAAGTAAAATAAAAATAAATAAAATTTAATTTTACACGTAAGATATGTTCATTACATTGTATATTAATGTTACCTCAAACAAAACACCAGAACTAAGGAGGGGATGGGTTAAAAACAAAATAGAAGTAAAACAGAGCAAATCTGTTGGATCACTGATTTGGTTGTTCTGAGTAGAAAATTCTTTAAGTTGGTAACTGGTTCTGTAGAATCATCGGTAAGGAACTTGGGCCCAGGCAGCCATGGAGGGAGGGGCCTGCTTCCTTCCTAAACAACCTTTTCTCACCTCGGACCCGTCTCCCTCTTCCTACCTAGGAGGCTGAGTCAGAAAACGCGCGGGCGGTTTGCGCTCGCCTGCGCACCGCGACCAGCGGAACCTAACCTCCAGGCGGCTGGGTGTGCCCGGTCCAGTCCCCCCCGCACAGCCCCGTCTGCCAGCACCCAGACCGAGCGCCCCGCGGGACGGGACACCGCGCGGCTCCCTGCCTCGTGCTCCGCCCTGCGCTCCGTCCCGCCCCTCCCGGGTGGCGCCCCGCCCCACCCGCATTCTGCTCCGCCCCTCCCGGGTTGCGCCCCGCCCATATTTCGCCCCGCCTCGCCACGACGGAGCTCGCCTGGGCCTGTAGGGACCGTTTTCTGACTCAGCCAGAGGGGCTCTGGCTCTGGGTGGCACGCAGCTCCGCCCTCCGTTCCGCCCCGCCCTGCGCGCCGTGCTCCTCCCGGATTGCCCCGCCCCGTGAGCCCAGCTCAGCCGCGACCCGGTTCGTCTAACCTGTGCGGTCGGCTTGGGCATGGTGGACGCGAACCTGGGCAGGCAGATGCAGGGCGCTGTGGCCGACCCCGTCCTCGGCCCGGTTACGCGGCAGGTCAGCGGCCGCGCCGCCCCAGCCGCAGTCCCGAGCGGCCCCGAGCGCGGCCAGCCCCTGGCCGCAGCGGTAGCCGAGCTGCCTGTGCTGGACGCCTCCGGGAGGCAGGTGCCCTTCGGCGCGCTGTTTCGGGAGCGTCGGGCTGTCGTAGTCTTCGTGCGGGTGAGCGCGGGCAGCGGGGCGGCCCGGAGTAGGGACTCTGCCGGCAGGCTGGGATGGAGGTTACTTCTTCGGCTTCAGCTAGGGGGACATTGGGTCCTTCGAAAGGCCCAAGGCCCGAGAGTGCGGTCCAGCTGGGCCTGGCCCTTCCCATTGCCTTCCACTAGAGGCTTCCGGAATGCGAACGGCTCCTCTCGCTTCCTTTAATAGGAATGGAAAAACAGCCCGCCAAGCCAAGTCCATTTTCCCAGCAAACGAGGAGGCCTAAGGGAGTGGGTGCGGCCCAATTTTAACGCATCTCGGGCACCCTTCGCGCCTTTTTCTACCCGCTGTGAGTGGCATTAATTAGCGTCACGCGTAACGAAGTACTTGGTCTTTAATGAACCCTGAGGGTATTAGTCGCTAACTTGTCCTTTTTGTCGTGTTGGGATTTCAGCATTTCCTGTGTTACATTTGCAAGGAATACGTAGAAGATCTGGCCAAAATCCCCAAGAGTTTTTTACAAGTAAGTTTCCTGAGAGTGAGCAGCAGCGTGCCCTGCTTCAGGGCGACCTTGTGAAAGTCACCTGTCATTTCTAAGAAGCCCGGTGGGATGAGGTGCAGAGTAGACACCTCTCCAGAACAGACCCTCGCAAACCCTGATTATCACCTTCCCACACATCTCTCCAACACCTTCAAAAAAGAGACATTAGAGATCTATTTCTGTCCTACTTTATTCGCTACTGCCTGCTTATAAACGTACTAACTATAATAATTTCAATGTTAGTAACCTATTTGTAAATGTTGAATGATAATGACCAAAAGCACGGATGCTAGAAATTATTAATATTTTATTTCCCTTATTTTTTTTAATAAGAACACTCCAAATAGTTGTTCATTATAGGAAAATACTAATATATCTTAAAGGTTAAAATTTGTATTTGTTAGATGTGCCTTCCACATTCCTGTGACAACCACATACATACGTTCTTTTTCAGGCACATACACATTTGTTCCCATGTGAGCTTTTGAGTGAAGGAATTGGACAACCTTTGTAAAACTAAGATCTGTTTTCATCATGCCTTATTAATTGGGATGTGAAAAAATGAAACTGATTAACCCTACTTCAATAATTTTTATTTTTTAGTGTACGCCTTTGGGGGGAGCATAGAGAATTTTTTTGAGAATTATTGACTGCATTATTTTGAAGTTCTTAGCAAGAGATCAACTGAATTAACTGAACATTTTAGCATACATTGCTTTACTTTGACTCACACAATTTTGCTGTTTATTCCATTTTTCTAGAAGCCTATAGGTGGCATTAGAATGGAACAAAAGAGTTGGACAAGGGGAAGTTTTATAAAATATATGTAAGTTCTGGTAATATGTACCTGTCCCTTTTTTCTCCTAAAGGAAGCAGATGTCACCCTAATAGTGATTGGACAGTCATCCTACCATCATATCGAGGTAAATATATCGGCAATTGAGAAACTAACAAATTAAATCTATTTCAGACATAAAAATTATTTATTTGAACCACTAAGTGTAGGTTAAATTTGCTAAAATAAAGGTAGGTTATCATTACTTTTCTCTCATTTTTACTTATACAAATTCCAAATATCTTTTTTTAGCCTTTCTGCAAACTGACTGGATATTCTCATGAAATCTATGTTGATCCTGAGAGAGAAATTTATAAAAAATTGGGAATGAAAAGAGGTGAAGAAATTGCCTCCTCAGGTAAGACATGACACGTCTCATCAGAAAACGCTAATGGTGCATTTGCACATTTCTGTATGTATGCATAGGGAAACAAATGGTAAATTCATAAATCAGCCTGCTTTTTATGATTCTGGTAAGTGGGCCAGATACACCAGACTCTCAAAGATTCATTTCCTGGGTGTAATGACATAGAAGGCTATTTGCAAAGTACTAAATGAGTGAAAAAAGCAAATTGCAGAACAGTGTTTTTAGTATGATTCTATTTTTGTGGAAATAAAAACCATTTTCATAAAGATCAGGAGTACGTGTGTGTGTGTGTGTGTGTGTGTGTAATAAAAAAGATTTTAGGGGTGCCTGGGTGGCTCAGTCGTTGAGCGTCTGCCTTCAGCTCAGGTCATGATCCCAAGGTCCTGGGATCGAGCCCCCACATCGGGCTCCCTGCTCGGCGGGAAGCCTGCTTCTCCCTCTCCCACTCCCCCTGCTTGTGTTCCCTCTCTCGCTGTGTCTCTCTGTCAAATAAATAAATAAATAAATAAAATCTTTAAAAAAAAAGTTTTAAAAGATACTGCCATGCTTACCCCAAGGTATGGAAGTTAGAAAAGTGGCCTTTGTATTTTTAACAATGAGTACATTTTACTTTCTTAATTAAGTGAAAAATAATATTGCTTGAGTCAGTATATTTTCTTACCTCAACACCATGGCTTTGAATACTCTGTGTTCTTTAATTGATGAAATCTTAGTTTTCATTTGAAGCCCAACTCAAAGGGGCTCTTAAAAGCCCCTCCTGCAGAAGTTATTCCTTCCCTCATTGTACCTGAATTAGCCCCTTGTACTTATCATATACTCTACCAGTGCACTTAAGGTGTCCAGACAGCAGAGTTAGTTGAAGAGTTTGAGGTTTTGTCTTTATGTGGTCCACATTCCCTGACTTTAATGCAGTTCTTTGTAATTTAACAGAGCTTCGTCAGCTTTAGGTGAACTGTTTCTGTATTAAGTAGAAAGAATGGCTTCTGAAATGCCAGTTGAGAGAACTCAAACTCCGATCATTCATTCTCAACAAATATTGTTGAGCTCCTGTCTGTAATCCCCACTTGGTTGGATGCTCCCAAGAGGACGGTGATAAACAGCTCCCTGCCATCCTAAAACTCATACTCTATTCTGGGAGACAAAAGCAAATAGCTGATTACAATACAATTTAAGGGCTTGTAATAGAGAACATGTACTAGGAATACCTATGCCGGAAATACGAGGGGAGAGAAGAATCTCCCAAGGCTTTACAGAGGAGGTGTCATCTAAGCCCACTCTTAAAGGAGTTAGCTGGGTGAAGTGAGGCTGGGGAAGGGTGCTGCTGACCGAAAGTAGCACATGCAAAGGCACACAGGCATGAAAAACTGTGACTCTTGGACAAGTGCAGGTCCCTGTGTCAGGCTGGAGTCTAGCCAATTGGGGACTTGGTGTGAGCCAAGGGACAGGTTGTGGCTAATTCGGGCCGAGTCTGGGGTGACATGCCCAGGAGTTTGGATTTGTTCTGGAGGAGTGGGGGTGTCATACAAGCATTTGAAGTGATGAAGTCGTAGTCCTGTGTCCAGCGTGGATGAGTAATTGGAACTCACCAAACCAGAGCCAGTGATGACGGTTGTAGTAGGTTGTAGTAATAGACTAGAAAGAAATGACAGTGGAGATGGAGAGGAGGAGATGGGTCAGGAGCTATTTATGACATAGAGTTGACATGATCCCTTTCCTGATGTGTTTAAGGAAAGCAACCTAAACTTTATTAAAACTAATGATGAGCTAGCGTAAACACAGAGTGTGCTCTTTCCTTTTTCTCCTTGGTATAGGAAATTGCAGTGTATACATTGTGAGCCTTACCTGGTAGACTGTTTTCTGTGTTGTAACAGTCCCAGCTGTGCAAGTTGATTATCATTTAGCACTTTAGATCTAAACTGTGAGTTTCACCTTAGTAACACCTCATGGTTCATCAGTTCATCACACAATAAAAATACAGAATTGCAAAGAAAACAGTTGAATTCTAAACAAAATATATGCTTATAATTATTAGAGAAGGTATATTCAAATCTTTTAAACTCCTGTGACCTGTGTGAAAGTACTGTATTTCCAACCAGAAAATATTATTCTCTCATAAAATCAACTTCTAAAAGTTCCTCTCTGAAAGAGCAGAAATCTCAGAATAGTCCCACTTGAAGAGTAAGACTCTAATACATCAAAAACTAATGATGTAATGTATGGTGATTAACATAATAAAAAAATACATAATAAAAATAAAAATAAAAAATATATAATTTTAAATTAATGGACATTTTATAAAGACAAAGAATAAGAAAATAAGGCCCTTAAATGCCAGGGAGTAATGGGTTTGTAGAAGACTAAAAACAGGAGTTTTATACATAAGAACTAAATACAAATGGGCAAAATTAGATTGTGTTTGTGGCAAAGATTGTTAAATTTTAGGTCATGGAATCTCCTTCAATTGAATTTCTGAAATTTCAGAAATATTAAATGACCCCTTCTTTGGACATGAAGAGATAGTTTGGGTTTCTGAATATTTATTTTAGACATAGAATCCTAGAAAACAGTAAAATTTAGTCTTTTACTCATGTCTCTAAGGTAATGGGCCTGTATTTGTTTCTTGGTGAGATAAATGTCCATCATAATAGAAACATGAAAGAAATAGAAGAGTCAGAGAGAGGAAAGGAAATGATAGGTACCTGGAAATACTAAGGATTCAGGCAGGTTAAAGGCAGCATAACCATCAAAATAAAAAGCCGGAAGCAAGACATAAAAGGCAGGGATAGGGGAAAGATAAGTTACAAGAAGGGTAAAGAGGGTGGGTCCGTTTGCTCAGAGGGAGCAGAAGTTAAGTATTAGTCCATGTGGGAAAGGAGATGGAAAAACTGACAGCCAAGGGGAGCTGGGGAGGCGCTGGATTAGCTGCTGTCACAGACAGCTCCCCAAGTCTCGGCACAGCACGGGAAAGGTTAGTTCTGTTAATTTCAAGATGGCGTATCTATTCAGATGCCTTTCCTCCGAGCAGCAGTACAGCAGGGACCCGGGGGGAAGAACCCGGGCCCCTTTCATCTTGTGGCTCTGTCATTTTCATCCCGGGGCTTCCAGGAATGTAGAAAGAACATAGAGGTTTTAAGGAGCTGGCCGGGAAGTGGCCCGTATCATTTTACTCATGGGTTAGAACATAGTCACATGGCCATAACGAACTGCTGGGAAGACTGGAAATGTAGTTCATCTGTGGGCCTAGAAAGAGGAAATGGGTTTTGAGGAGCATATACTGGTCTGTGCCACAGTGTCTCTTGAAAAGGAGTGTAGTTACCTATTAGTAGGTGAGAAATTAAACAGAGGATAAATGATGTATTAAAAGGGAAAGCATTAAGGGCACCTGGCTGGCTCAGTACGGCATGTGAGTCTTGATCTTGGGGTTGTGAGTTGGAGCCCCATGTTGGGTATGGAGATTACTTAAAATCTTTAAAAAAAAAAAATGGTGGGGGAAAGCACTGTCAGTTTGAGAAGTCTGTAGCGGACATTTTTCTGTGGCAGATGATTGCGGTATATCATCACTTCTTTAAAGTAGTAGTTCTCAAGCAGGGTACATTTGGTGTTATCTGGAGACACTTTTGGTTTGTCATCACATGGTGAAGGTACTGCGGCATCTAGTGGGTATGCAGGACAGCGATGCTGCTAACCACCCTGCGTTGCACTGGATGAAGACTTACGTGGTCCAAAATGTCAATAGGGAAAGGCTGAGAAAACTTTGTTTGAAGCAAGAAAAGAAGACAAGTTGGAAGTAAGATAACACAAGAAAAAATATTTCAAGGGGGATGGGCAAAAATGGGTGAAGGGGAGTGGGAGATACTGGCTTCCAGTTATGGAATGAGTAAGTCACGGGGATGAAAGGCACAGCACAGGGACTACAGTCAATGATACTGTAATAGCCTTGTATGGTGACAGGTGGCAGCTACACCTGTAGTGAGCCTAGCCCAAGTACAGAGCTGCGGCATCACCACGTTATACACCAGTGTATGTTGTGTCAACTATACCTCAAAAAAAAGAATGTTTTATAGAAGCACTAACATTATCTTCTGATATCTAATTGAATATAAAATGATAATATCTAAAGACAATTCCCAATATTTCAGGAAAGAGCCCCCATATAAAATCAAATATACTCTCAGGAAGCATTCGGAGCCTGTGGAGGGCAGTGACTGGCCCTCTTTTTGATTTTCAAGGAGACCCTGCTCAGCAAGGCGGAACCCTCATCTTAGGTCCAGGTAAGCGTCAAAGCCCAGATCCAGTGGCACACTTTTTGTGCCTTTTAGAAGTTAGGAGGCCACACAGTTTCTTCATAAAATAGATACCAGGTAAAAATGGCAATTTGACATTGTAACAGTCACGATTCTGTGCTTATAGGGGTCACCTTTGTTTTCAAACGCTTCTGTGTATTTTGGCGTCTGTTTATTGCATGTAATGTGCCCATCATCCTGTGCCTGAGTGATTTCAGGTATTTGGGATAGGAAAGTCAGTGGTGGTTTGGTCAATTGTATATGTCTATAAAACTGTTTAAAAAGTTCATGGAAGAGGGGCGCCTGGGTGGGTCAGCCACTTGTGCACCAGATACTTGATTTCAGCTCAGGTCATGATCTCAGGGTCCTGGGATTGAGCCCCGTGTCAGGCTCCATGTTCAGCGGGGAGTCTGCTTGTCTCCCTCTCCTGCCCCTCCCCACTTCTCTAAAATAAATAAATAAATCTTTAAAAAAAAAAAAGTTCATGGAAGAGAGGGGCACCTAGGTGGCTCAGTTGGTTAAGCGTCAGATGCTTGATTTTAGCTCAGGTCATGATCTCAGGGTTGTGAGATCAAGCCCTGTATGGGCTGCACTCAGCAGGGAGTTTGCTCGAGATCCTCTCTGTTTCTTTCCCTTCCCCTCTCCCCATGCTCGAGTGCTCTCTCTCTAAAATAAATAAATCTTTAAAAAAAAAAGTTCATGGAAGTGAACATTTCCACATAGAACAAAGCATCGACCCTTTTTTTTTTCTTTTTTTCTTTTTTTTCTCAATCGAAGAATCAATCTAGTTACTTATATCTAACAAGGCTAGAAGACTTGCTCAGTGTCAGAAAGCAAGTCAGCTCCAGGGACAGCTCATTCAGTAACAATTACTATAAGCCACATAGTTTTAATAGCTTTATTGATCACTTTGGGCCACCTGAAATTTCTTTGGCTCCACACTGCTAAATGGTTGAGTGTTAGATCTCTACCATGGTCAAGTATTGTAGTCAGGGACAGCCACTTTCACAGTGTAAATCACTAAATTGTAAATAGATTTTCTTGGTTCTTCTTCCTCTTGAAAATTGTCCACATTAGCGAGCATAGCTTCTAGGAGTTATAAAATTAACATTTACTTTAATAAACTCCACATGTCTAAAAGTCTTTAGAAGGAGGCTTTTGACCAAGCATTATGGCTTTTTGGCTTTCTGCAGCTGGAGCACTTTAGCTAGCTAAAACCTGTAATTTAATCTCTCTTTTCCTCTCTTGTGAATTTACACCAGTTAGACTAGAAAAAAAGAGAAGCCCTGTTTTATGAGAATGAGTCCTCTAGATTAGCCCTGAATGACCTTGAGCCATATTTTTGGATGGCTTGTTTCCATCTTCAGACTCGTTTTGAGTCCCTAATCTCCATGTCTCAACATCATCTGACCACATGTTCAGGTGTGTAAGGGTGGCCGAGCACACAGAGAGCATCATTTGTGTGCCAAGTTGGGAACATAATTGAGTATGTGAGGAGTATGTAAGGAGAATATCTTGATACTACCTGCTGGAAGAAATGTAGCTCCTCTAAGGAAAGAGCTGGGTATACTTATTTATAGAAACCTTTCATGGTTAAACCTGTATTTCATTTTGCCTTTTTGATAATAAGCCAATTTATGATATTAAATCTACAGTGATTACTGTAGATTACTGATGCCTCCTTTTTTTAAAGATTTTATTAATTTGACAGCACAAGCAGGGGGAGCGGCGGGCAGAGGGAGAAGGGCTCCCCACTGAGCAAGGAGCCTGATACAGGACTTGATCCCAGGACCCTGGCAGATGCTTAACCGACTGAGCCACCCAGGCGCCCAAAAACATGCCTTTTATAATATTTACTTAATCTTATGTTTTAAGTTAGAATTCTGGTCTTGAGTCCAAGAATCAAAGTAAAAAAGACCCTAGACCTATAAATTATGACTTTTTAATTTGAGCAGATAAAAGGATTGTGGATGTCTAAGTGTATTGTAACTGTCTCAATGCCCTGATTTTTCAGCCTCTTTTGGTCTAGGATTATAATGCAGATAACCTATTAAATCAGTGTTTGGTAGTGAATTTTTTTTTTTTTGAAGCAAGTGATTTATTCCATTATTACATTTAAGAAACAGATGTGATTTTCCAGCTTGATATTTATGCTAGTTCCATATTCTGCCTGTCTGTTTGACAGGATATTTTATTTAATTACATCTAATAAAACCTAACAGAGGTTATAATTTAAGAATCTTTCCCCTTGGATCTCATAAAACATTAAGTATCACTCTTATTTAACCCTAATCCATGTCATGCTTTATTACCTTAATTAAAAATTATTAGGGCATTATATAGAGAATATTATGAACTCTAGGCAATCAGTTTTTCCCTTTAGGCTAATTAAAAGTTGAAAAGATTCCTTGATTCTAATAAGCAATAAATCTAATGAATCTATATGCCTACCTTTGCCTTTTATTCTCTTCTAGGTAACAACATCCATTTTATACACCGTGATAAAAATAGGTTGGATCACAAACCCATCAACTCTGTTTTACAGCTTGTAGGAGTTCAGCATGTGGACTTTACAAGCAGACCTTCAGTTATCCATGTGTAATGGCATAGACTGTTGTCACTTTCAAATGGACCCTTGGGGTAGGACCTGAAATGTTCAGAGTTGGGTATCCTTGTGCAGTGTCTAACTTGTTGGCGTGTCCCAGCCTTTGAGGAGTTATGAAAACATGAAAAGACCATGTACCAGTCATTGCATGCTGGGAGGCATTAGTTGTCAAAAATATGATCTATATTTATAATTCTATAGCTTTTAAAATTTTATTTATATAAAACTTTAAAAGCTATAAAATTAGAAATACCCTTCTATATTTTGCATTACGGTATATCCATTCAATGAAACGTTCTGTTGGCCATTAAAATAATAAATTCTTTTGAAGAACATAAATGGAAAGGTAAGCAACTCACCATCATTTTATCCAGGAAAAAAGCAGGATATCAAATTCTGTAAATAATATAATCATATTTTTTATATGTTTATATTTTTGTATGCTTAGGAAAAAATATAGGAAATAAACACACCAGAATATTGCCAGTAGGTACCTCTCTGTGGTAGGATTACAGGTGTCTTTATTTTCTTTTCCACACTTTTCTTTATCTCCGAACTATACTATAATGAGCATGATTCATTTTTTTGGCCAGGAAAAGTTCTTTAAATTTATATGAAGAATATATTCCTACATAACAAGTTCCACAAAGTTGCATTTATATAGGCTACTGTCCACGTTTCTATCCTCACTGCTTTACTCAGAGGAAATATGGTAAGCCAGACCTTCTGCATAGCCTGTGTCCAAAGCACCTTGTACCACACACCCACTACCCATTTCACTAGGATTTTTGTGGGGAGGAGTAGGAGAAAAAAATGTCTTATGTATTTAAGATATGTATTTAAAATACGCTTCAGTATGCTTTTTGAAAGGATTTTAAGAATTGTTTAAACTAAAAAAAAAAACTTTGTAACTTAAATGTACACTGGTTTGGTTGCCATATTGCTTTTATTTAGTGTATTGTTGTCATCTTCTATTTGTCTAGAATCTTAATAGGCTTAGTTGTGAAGGAATTCTGATGAAAAGTACAGTAAGAGCAAAATGTTGGTAATTATTAGCAAGTATATACTGCTTTGAACTTACAAACTTTTATATCAAGCATATGAGGTCACACACAAATATATTTCAAGTATCCACATATTTTAATTATGTTTGTGTATATATACATAAACAATCATTTTTTAATCAATAAAAATGAAATTTCTCATGAAATTTAAAATTAAGCAATTTTGTGCTATTTTTTATAGTAAGGAAGGACTGGTGACCCAGATCCCTTTGCTGATTTTAGACTTACAACTGCTGAATAATAGCTTACACAAAACTTTATATATTTATAAACGTATAGTACATTTTCCTAAGATACATAAATGTTCTTTATGTAGCTTCAGGGAGATAACAGTTAGACAAACAGTGCAGTGGTAAATTGCCGACCCAAACAAACATATTTAATACAAAAAAAGATTTCTGTTGTTTAAAGATTTTTATTTATTTATTTATTATTTGCTGGGGGGAAGGGAGCAGAGGGAGAGGGACAAGTAGATTCTGCCCTGAGCACAGAGCCTGATGAGGGACTCAATCGCACAACCCCAAAATTGTGACCTGAGCAGAAATCAAGAGTTGGGTGCCTAACCGACTGAGCTACCCAGGCACCCCAATACAAAAATTATTTTTAATAGGCACTGTGAAATACATAAACATGCTCTGTACCCAATAATGTACTAGACTCAAAATTTTGTAAAACCTTCCTACAATAAATACAGAGCAATACTATTCGAAGAATACTATCTAGCACTCTTACCATGCTAATTATTTGCCAGGTAGTATTCCAAGTGCTTAACATACATTAGCTCTATAGAATTGACATCATCATCATGCCCATTCCACAGAGAAGAAACATCTTTTTTTTAAGCTGAACTTTCAGTAAGAAAGTGAGGAAATCACCAGGGCCAAAAGCAGAAGTAGAAACAAGGCTGATGACCATGCCCTGAAGCTGTTGGTTGCTCTGAGGTTTGTGCTCATCCCAGGAATGTTCCTTAGCCAACTCAAAGGCCTTGTGCAGTAGAGAGTTAAAACTAAGACCACCACATAAAGACCTATGCCTGAGACCTGAGACTTCCTAGGGCTTCTAAGAGCTACAGCTGCACCACAGTCAGATCCATCCATATGCTCACCAACTTGTTTCTATATTTTTTTTTAGATGTTTGTTTAAGTAATCTCTACGTCCAACATGGGGCTCAAACTCACAACCTGGAGATCAAAAATCTCATGCTCTACTGACCCAGCCAGCTGCCCCTATTATTTTTTTTTTAATATAATGGCCATTCTAATAGGCATGCAGTCGTATCTTACTGTAGTTTTGACAAAATTTACCAATTTTTAAACATGTATATACAATAAACAAAGAAAAAAACTATGAGCAGCTGATGTTGAGTAATAATTTTTTTTAAGTAAGCTCCATGCACCGTGGGGAGCCCCATACAGGACTCAGTCTCACAACCTTGAGATTGAGACTTGAGCCGGGATCAAGAGTCTGATGCTTACCTGACTGAGCCACCCAGGTGTCCCTGAATAATATTTTTTTAAAAAAACAAGCATGACACCCTGGACTTTCTATGTTGTCCACCATTAAGCAGACATTAGAAATGTTTGAAGTGTTAAAGAACTGCTTTTGTAAATCGACCTGTGCTGTCCTCACTGATAATGAACATTTTTTTAAAATGGGTCCTATATGTTTTGATTTCTTTTAAGTTGGAAATCTTAGAGTTTAATGAATGGTGTGCCAAAAACTCTCATTTTGAAGCTTTTAGCAAATCATATGACTGAAAACAAATCTTAACAAATGGGAAGACGTTGAAATCTGGCTTTTTTTTTTTTTTAAAGATTTTATTTATTTATTTGACAAAGAGAGTGAGAGAGAGCACAAGCAGGAAGAGTGGCAGGCAGAGGGAGAAGTAGGCTCCCCACTGAGCAAGGAGCCTGATGCGGGACTCGATCCCAGGACCCATGACCTGAGGCGAAGGCAGACAGTTAACCAACTGAGCCACCCAGGTGTCCCTGTGGCATAAAGTTTTAAGAAGTATATATTGTTTAAGGATACCTACATATGTCTGACAGTTTTAAAGAAAGGCAAGGCAGTGATAAATAGCAAATTAAGGAGAATGAGTATCTTTCGGGGAATGAAGGTAGAGGTGATTAGAGTACAGAAATGGTGTTTGGCTGGGTTGGCAAAATTTCATTTAAGTGATGTAGTTGGGTACATGGGTATCTGATCCATCATTCTTTGTACCTTTTGTATTCGCACACATATACACACATATAAATATATCATAGCCTGTTTTGTAGATGTATTAATTGGGTTGTACCTTATATTATTGTCCAATAATTGCCTTTACAGCATAAATATTTTACATTTATTATTTTATTTTTTTTTAAGATTATTTGAGACAGCGATAGCAGAGAGCATGAGGTGTGGGGGGATGGGTAGGGGGCGGGGAGGTGGGGAAGGGCAGAGGGAGAGGGAGAAGCAGGCTCCCTGTTGAGCAGGGAGCCCACTTCTCGGCTCAATCCCAGGACTCTGGGATTACAACCTGAGCCAAAGGCAGACGCTTAACCGACTGAGCCACCCAGGTGCCCTGACCGTTTTACATTTATACACAGAAAGTGGAAAAGCAATTTTTACACCTTCAAAACATGTAGCTTTACTAAGCTGTACATTCAGTTCCCGCCTAGAACAGCAACACAGGGGTGTCGTTCTTGTTTGGGATCTGTGCTGCAGTACTGCCTTACAGGTGATGTGGTCTGATAATGAGGGAAAAGATGTTTTACAGGGCCAATTATGTGTTAGGTATTATGGGAGATTTAAATGACAGATACAGCAGAATCTTTGCCTTTAATCATTCAGAATATATTTAAGGAGGGCAGGAAGAGTATCAGGGCAACTAACAAAATAGGTAGTAAATGATAAACAGCCCTTTGCAGGGTGCAGAAAACCTTACAGTGATTTGAATGTCTTGGAGGGGAAGGCAGGAGATTGGAATGCTCGGAGGTTTGCACATGAATTTTTAAAAGCAGCTCACAAGAACCACAAGTGTAATTAGCCTTATTCATCATGATGAGGTATTTGATCAAAGCTCTTATGGAAATAAAACTTGTTTCTAGAAAATTATTTTTAATATTACGCCAATCTTCTTATATGCCATTTTTAAGAATAGGTAAGCACTCAGTATTTTTAAGATATCTTTAGAAATCATTCCAGCTCTGTTATTTAACTTTACTCTGAGAGCAACCTCTAATCACTGACATTTCCAGACGTTGACTCCTAAAGACTTAAAATGCCACATGTGAATGTATTTACTAACTTGATATAAATAAAGAATAGCTTAAAAATTCCAAGAACATGCATACATCTCTCATAAGCACAACATTCATCATTCTTTCTGCTTAAACCAGTATACTTTCCTCTCCATTTTTCTAGACTATAAGCTCATATTTTGATATTTTGTTGCCCATGTCCGTATTGGCAAGTATGAGGGCCTCCTGTGAATTAATGCTGTGTGCCACACAAGAGGAAAATAAAGCAAAAGAAAATGCTTTCAAAAATGTATTGGAGGATTAAGAAGTCAGGAAACAACAGATGTTGGTGAAGATGCAGAGAAAGGGAAATCCTCTTACACTATTGGTGGGAATGCAAGCTGGTGCAGCCACTCTGGAAAACAGTATGGAGGCTTCTCAAAAAGTTGAAAATAGAACTACCCTATGACCCAGCAATTGCACAACTAGTTATTTACCCAAATGATACAAAAACAGTGATTTGAAGGGGCACATGCACCCCGATGTTTATAGCAGCACTATCCATAATAGCCAAACTATGGAAAGAGCCCAAATGTCCATTGACTGATGAATGGATAAAAAAGAGGTGGTATCTATACACAATGGAATATACTCAGCCATCAAAAAGTATGAAATCTTGCCATTTGCAACAACATGAATGGAGCTAGAGAGTATAATGCTAAGTGAATAAGTCAATCAGAGAAAGACATACCATATGATCTCGCTCATATGTGGAATTTAAGAAACAAAAAGATGAACATAGGGGAAGGGAAGGAAAAATAAAATAAGATAAAAACAGGGAGGCAAACCATAAGAGACTCAACTAAGGAACAAACTGAGGGTTGTTGGAGGGGAGGTGGGTGGAGTGTGGGGTAAATGGGTGATGGGCATTAAGGAGGGCCT